TTATTCCTTTTTGTCTTCTACTTGGAACTTTTCAATTTATTTAAAACATTGTTTATACATATTGACATAACTGCACATAACCAAAATATTGACTAAAGTCCTTAACGACTTTTTATCACCTTCGTCCAAAAATTGTATTTGTACGGTTTTGTCAATTGAAATAAATTTTCTTTATTATGTTTAATTTTTTATATATTTTATCATAAATTGCTATTTTTAAATAAAGATGTTTTTAACTTTAATAGGTAGGTGATACATAGTAGAGTCCACGTGCCTCATAGAAAAGAAGACATAGAGGGCTAGCATTAAAAATTGACTACTTCATTAAATCGTCACTAGATGCCGCCCGAGATTGCTTCCAACACTTTTTACTGTTGCATTATCCTACTATATTATTTTCATACAACGGTATAACCCACACTGTGGTTTAGGTTGGTTGTTGTAGATTTCTCTATTATAAGAAGTACTACGAATGTGGGGTGACAGATATCGCTAAAAGGCGAGATGCGGCATACAGCTTTTCGATGAATGTCGTATTACTAGTAATAGACTGGTTTACATAAAAATCTCAATTGTATACATATTGGGGGTTAGAACATTGTTGCAGAACACGGTCCAATTGCCGTTGCTGGGATGACAGTAACCCACATTTATTTTGTGAGTATCATACCCAACACTCTGAAAAAATAAATGTCTGGTGTGGCATTTTACACTGAAAATAATAAAGGATCTAATATGAATCACTAGAGATCGATTTTAATTAGGTATTTTATATATTTAGTTAAACTGAAGTTTACTAGAATTACTTTACTGGTAATGATATTATTACTATGATGATTAATATCAATCAAATGAGCGTACAGTTATTAATCTTGCAGATGATCAGTATAATTAATGGAACGACTTACCTAAAGGAAGTTCGATCTGCGAGCATCCTTGTAGTGGAAATAAAGATAACTATGTAGTATACCTATGTTACGCCGCTGACCCACATGTTCAGATTTAAAATTTTATGTTATCCTCTATCGCTGCCTGCCTAAATTACTCATTACCTGTTGTGAAGCCTAGGAGTTTGGGGTTAAAAATAATATAAACTAATATGGTGGAGGTGGGACTTTATTTCCACTAACAAGGATGCTCGCATAATTAGGATCGAACTTTCTTTAGATAAGTCGTTTGATCCAAAAATTATGCTTCACATCCTTGTTAGTGAAAATAAAGATAACCATGTAGTTATTTAGAGGATGTTCTATTCAAAATAAAACTAGATTTTTGCTTTCTACGTAAATGTATACAATAGAATATGCACCACAAAATTAACAATAATAATTAATAATAATACTAATGAATTAATTATTAAACAACGTAACAAAAAATAATATTGAATTTCAACAATTCAGTTTTATAATTTTTTAATACTTCTGCGAACGTTGGTTTTACGTCTTGATTGTAAAACTTGTTAAACACTACTGTCCTACAGTTTTTCTAATGGTTTCGATATCGACGCAGATTATGAGGACGATCTAGATACATACGTATGTGTACTAAGTGCTGAGCTACCCACCCAATAGTTTGGGGGAGATACTGGAAGGACTGGTCTGTTAGTGGTTAGAATAAATGGTCCTGAAGACCCGTGAAACTTTGTTTTTTCTTTTTCCCCATAAAATAAAAATTATTTTTACCGAGCATAAATTGAGGTAATTCGCGGGAGAATGAAAATACTAATAAAGACTGAGCTCGTTGTGGAGTCGAAGTTTTAGCATTTTGTCAAAGAAAATTTATACGTTGTCAGCATCCACCTTGACATTTTCAACTTTATTTTTTGAGAAAGTCTATACCCGTTGGGCTGCAAGCATACCAAGTTTTGCTCTTAGCTGTTTTAAGTTTTTCAAGTGAAAGAAACTACTAAAGTATTTTAAAACTGTGTTTTGGTCTCAAGTTTGAATACATTTTGGCAAAACAAGATGATTCTTTTAGACATTTCCTAATATACATTTTCGTTTATTATTCAGAATTTCTGTAATAAAAGTTATGGCAGAAATTCCCTAATTTCTTTTTAGACTATTTATAATAAGAGCTAGGTCAGATTATAAGGGTAGATTATCTGATTATAAGGAGTTCTAAATGAAGGTTTGCTGCAGTGAATAACTAGGTTTAATGTCGACAAGTATAGTAAAAAGAATTTTTTTTGTAACATTAGATGATTGAGTTTCCCATTTTGGTACAATCACTATGCCTTCTGCTTGGTCTTTCTAATTTTAGTACTTATGCAAGAAATGCATCAGCTTGCACACTTTGGATAAAAACACGTTTTTTTTTTGATGAGTGATAGAGATTGTAAAGAATTAACAATTGTATTACAATATTTGAGACATTCATCACTAGATTTAGATGTAATTATGTAATTATCAAATCATTAAGGTTATTTTCAAAAGCCTTAGTTAATGCGTTACCGGTTTTAAAGTGTTTGCAAAAACATATGGAGTAAAGAGCAAATGGTCAAACCAAATATAAGACACTGAAATTCGTAAGTTATTATTTTTTTAAGTACTTTTCTGATTTTTCATGTATTGAGATGAAATAAGAGACATCCTTTAATTTAATTTTTGACATAAAAGTGTCCAATATTCCGAGAAGACATTTGGGTCTTAAAAAATATGAGAACCAAACTAATTTTCTTTAGCAAGCAAACACCTGTTGCATTCTTTAGTACAAGTTTTTTTTTATTTATTTAAAGTGCGTAGGTTAGTTTTATCTCTAAGGTGAAAGCTCTTTTGTGTTTTAAATATTAATATAAAACCTTTGTCATATTCAAAAGGAAAGACTTGTATTTCGTACAAAACTTTTTAAATAATAAATGCAAAGCGCTTTCGGCATTTTGCCATTATCAGTGCTTATCTACAAAAATTGTGGATGTAAACTTACAATTTAAAAAATATAAAATCTAAGTAAGACTTTTAAGTCAAAAGTTAAAGTTATATATATATATATATATATATATATATATATATATATATATATATATATATATATATATATATATAAGGTTATTTTGAACAAATTAACAATTAAAAGATAACAAACAGAGTGACATAACCCAGTGTTGGGAATAGTGAGTGTGGGATTAGCCCTTACAAATCATATCTGATCTCCAAAAGCAAGTTAGCTTGTGTGCCACTAAGGAATTATACCACCTTCACTATTCGCATTGAGTACAATAATTGAAAACAAGTTACCAAATTAGTTAAATTTTAAAGAAAATTTACAAATAGAGAATGACTGTGAAAAATATATTAAAATTTGAATTTAGAATACAATAGTTAATATAAAAGACACACACACACACACACACACACACACACACACACACACACACACACACACACACACACACACACACACACACACACACACACACACACACACACACACACACACACACACACACACACACACACACACACACACACACACACACACACACACACACACACACACACACACACACACACACACACACACACACACACACACACACACACACACACACACACACACACACACACACACACACACACACACACACACACACACACACACACACACACACACACACACATCCGTTCATTAATTATGGTGGACACACACATACACACACACACACACACACACCCACACACCCGTTCATTAATTATGGTGGACACACACATACACACACACACACACACACACACACACCCGTTCATTAATTATGGTGGACACACACACACACACACATACACACACACACACACACACACACACACACACACACACACACACACACACACACACACGCACGCACACACACGCACGCGCACGCACACGAACACGCACGCACGGATACAAAGATAACTGCGATATTATTTTGTCTTCTTCAAATCAATTGAATAATGTACTAATCTCTAGTGCTTATCAGTTAAGTGCTCGTAGAGATTTATTTTATTCTGATTAACTTACAATAATAGATTGATCAGTTTTATTTCCAGCAAGATGGAACGCCTCTGCACTATGTTGGTGCTGTAAGAGAATTTTTTAAAAACCGGTACCCTGGACAGTGGATTGGAAGAAAAGGCCCAATTGATGGCCTGCATGGTCACCGGATTTGTCGCCTCTGGACTATTTGGGGACACTTGAAAAATAAATATTTTACTACGAAGCCTAATTCCATAGATCTTCGCCAACGGATAATAGCTGAGCACAGGAGAATAACATCTTAAATTCTACAAAATGTTCACAATAAATTTGAACAAAATTTTTATTATTGTATGGAAGCAAATGGGTCACATTTTCAATACCTGATAAATTAACGTTTAAATAAATCAATTTTACAGTTTATTACTATTTTTAGAAATTAGGTAAACTTTAAAATTTAACAAAATTAAAATGTAATTTCCTATTGAAATGTAATTTCCCATAAAATTACCTTTTTAAAAATGTGCTTCTCTTGGTCCTTTCCTTTTCTAAATTTTACGAGTTGTTAACCCCATACTCGAGGGTCGAAGCGTCGATGCTGAAATTAGGAAAAAATGTGTCCTCCTTCAAACAAAAATCAACGTGCCCAAGCATTTTTGCTTCTAGGCGCATAATTTTTACCCTCAAGAGGGTTCTAATATCGGAATTTGATGCAACAATAATGGCATTACTGAATTTCTTATAAAATTACCTTTTTAAAAATGTGCCACACTTAGTGCTTTCCCTATCTATATTATAGGGGTTGTTCAACATACTGCTCGAAGGTTAAAGTGTCATTGATGCAATTAGAAAAAAATGTATCTTCACACCAAACAAAAATCAACGTGTCCGAGCATTTTTTCTTTAAATCTGAGGGAACCACGAAAAGGAGGATGGATACTTTTCATTTGACCACACTGTATGTATTTTAATTATAGAAAAGTATTCAAACATTTTGAGAGTCTCTTCTAAATTCAACTTGTATTATAAATTTCAGTATTTTTTAGCTTCCGTTAGAAGACCCCATTCTAAAACCAGTAATGGTCTGGATCCATGGAGGAGGTTTCATGTGGGGCTCAAATGATTCTAGATTATTTGGTCCAGAATTTTTACTTACAGAAGACATAGTTATGGTGTCCATACATTATCGAGTAGGCTTCTTAGGATTTTTACATCTTAACGATGCTTCTTTGGATGTACCTGGAAATGCTGGTATGAAAGATCAACAATTGGCTCTTAAATGGGTGCAAAGAAATATTCACCATTTTAATGGAGATCCCAACAACGTTACCATTTTTGGAGCTAGTAGTGCAGGTTCATGTATTCATTTACATGTATTATCTCCTACATCTAAAGGATTGTTTCATAAAGCCATAGTGCAAAGTGGATGTGCTTTAAATTATTGGACTTTTTCTGGAGATTTTGCATTGGAATTTGCTAAGTTTGTTGATAATGAAGTACAAACTGAAGCACAAGCCTTAGAAATGTTTAACAAAATGCCAGTAAAGGAGTTTCATAAATATCAACTAGATTTTTGTAATGTAAGTAAATTGTCAAGCTTATTGTAGGATACAAATTCTAAGACTTATTCAAGATAATTTTTAACCTGTTCTATTACTGCATTTCTCTAATATAATATACTTTATTTGTAATATTTTTCAGATACACGATATTTTTGGAGTAGTGGCTCCTAATATCGAACCGCCCAGCGAAACTGCATTCCTATCGTCTTCACCTATCGAACTGATATCTTCTGGTCACTATAATAAAGTCCCGCTCATAATTGGATATTGTAACAATGAAGGATTATATGTCGGATTTGATGAAACGTTTAAGAAAATTAAAATAAAGCAAGAAACATTAGATCTGGACTTCTTTGTTTCTCCCAGTCTAAAATTAAAGGAAGACGACTCAAAGAGGGAAATAGTTAAAAGAAAAATAAAGAAATTTTATTTTGAAGGACAAAACGCAGTAGACAAGTCGTTGGTAAGATCGCTCTCTATCTGGTATACCGTTGGGTTTTTAAATCCACACATTCCGCTAGAATAAGAAGGAAAGTCTTATCGTCTCGTAAGAGAATTTCCGCAGACTCACTATCGTCCAAATTTACTAAGGTGCCGTTTAAGTCGGCAATCCCCTGTAACGGTTATCATTGGTATGTGTAGCTTGTTCCTACTCAGATAGTTATAGGTTTTCGATATTTCCAGGTTATAGTCGTTCAGAAGTATCTGAGCCTGTCTTAGCCCTAAGAAATCATTTCAATTGGCGTTACTTTTACTTTTGTTTGGTAACGATTTTTTTTTATTTATTTCAGATTTGGACAGATTTTTTATATGTACCAGGAATAATAGCTTCTGCTAAACTTCATGCTAGAACGTCTTCAGAACCAGTATATTTATATAGAATATCTATTGATGCAGGACTTAATTGGAAAAAACAAATTATACCTATAAAAGAACCCGGTTAGTCTAGTTGAATGTATTTTTAGATTCAAAATGTAGTAATTTATTTCTTTGGGGAAACAGCATTATATTCAAAACTATAGGAACAATGCGTAAGATAATTATAAATTGTAAAAAGACTATTCCTAATCAGAGTTTTTTTGGACTATTTTGTTTTCAGAAAACTTTTAACCATTGCCAAAAAAATATTAAAAAAAATTAAGATTAGAACTAACTAATGGTAACACCAGCAAAAAAACATTTATTCTTTTAATATACAGCCTCACCTCGTGAAGGTTACCATTTTAAAATCAAAATATAACATGTTTATTCTGGATTGTTCAAATGTACTATTTGACACATATTAATACTGTCTTTCTAGGGTTCCGTACCCGAAGGGTAACCAACGGGACCCTAATACTAAGCCCCGGCCGCTTGTTGGTCTGTATGTCGGCAGGCTATATCTCGTGATCCGTAATAGGTAGAGAATTGAAATTTTCACAAAATGTGTATTTCTGTTCCAACAACAAATAATAAATAGTGTATTATGTACCAAGGAACTAAAGTGCCACTTTAGTCCCGAAACAAATTAAAACGCATTTTAGTCTCGTGGTACATACGCTATTTTTGGTAACGCAGCGAATATAACTAATAATTTATTCTGAAGCTGTTTAGTCTTGTGGTATTTCGCTTGTTATTTTAATTTAATTAATTTCATTGATTATTTTTCTCATCTGTCAACATTTATTTGCTAATAAACTCGCTTTCCTTCCTTTGCGAATAAAGTACAATGTCCTCGTTGACAGTTTCTTGTTTATAGACAACACACTATACGTAAATCAAGTAGGTATACACTAAATGTCGAATTGAAATTTATTATTTTCATGTTTTATGGTAATTAATTAATTATGTTTTTAATAATTAATATGTATATTATTAATTAAGAAAAATATATGCAAAGTATCAAACAAAACTATTTTCGGAAAAATCGAATAAAGTAGTTTATTATGGTTTCTATTGGTTTTGTTTTTTTTTTTTTTTTAATTGGTGTCATCGGCGTCGACTACTACGGCCATTAGCCTCGTGTTCTGTGTAGGCTTTGTTACTGTTTCCCAGCGCCACTTTAGGAACAGCACTGTTAATTAGAACGCAACAGTGAATGGTCGAGTGGGGAATCCTACCAAGGCATCAGAATTAATTTTGAATAATTAAATTAAATGAAAAAATTCCGGCCAACGGTGGGATTCGATCCTGAGACCTTCCGATCTCAAAGTCATGACTCTAATCACTGAGCCAACCCACCCCCTATTGGTTTTGTTATTTGCGGGACTAACATTTTTTAATCCCTTGGGACTAAAATATTTTAGTCCCAAGGGAGTTATAGTGGCACTTCAGTCCTTAAAATAAGGGAGTAAAATGCATGGTTTAGTCTCTAAAGTACAAAAATAAATTAAAAGTTAAAGGAGGCTACCCTACTAGAATAGTATATTGTTTCACGAGTGACGAAAATAACATTTTTTGAAGCGAGAGAACAATTTACCAACCGAGGCTAAGCCGAGGTTGGTAATGTTCGCGATCTTCAGAAAATGATTTTCGACGAGTAAAACACTATACTTTTTCTACGAACTCTATTATGTCATGTAGGTACCTACTAAAATGAAAAAAAAAACAAACGTTAGCAAATGCTTTATTTTGTGTTAGGAATAACAAAAAATTAACCAACAATTAAATATTTCAGAAATATTATTTATTATTTAAATATTGATTTATTGTTATATTTGAACAATTGTTCAAAATTATGGGGGTATCACACTCAAGCTTTTTATTTATTGAGGTAGATGCCGACATATTTGTTCTACTGTTAAATGTCATTTCAGATGATGATGCGCCATAATCGGATGAACTAGTAGTTTCCTTATTTTGTACAGATTGTAAAATTTTGGTTTGTATTTGGTTTTTAGTGTTCGTGGATTCATCAACATATCCTTCCGCAACACTACTAGATTTCCAACCACCGTGCTTTTTTAACAGAAGCAAGTCACCTCCTGCATCCACTAATAGCGTTGCGGATGTTCTGCGGAAACAGTGACCAGTGTAATCTTGAGGATTCGGAAGCGTTAAAAACTGAGCAATTTCGTTAGGAAATTTACTGATTTTATTAATTCCAACAACCTGTCTGCTACACTTTCCATTCTGATAGTTAATAAAGAATCTTGAATTAATTTGATCCATGTTTGCGGGACTTTTGTTTTTGTATTACGGATTTTAACTAACAGAATACTTCCAGTATCCTTTATATCGCTTATTGTTAAATCTTTTAGTTCGTGGCAACGACAAGCGCCAGATAATCCAAAAACTAATGCTACCTACAAATATTAGTAGTTATGTATTAAGTATTTGTTAAAATAAAAATAATAATTCCGTTACCTTTGTTATTAAATATTTATAGTCAGATGCTTTCTTTATGTCTTCAGGCGAAAAAATTTTGGATTTTTGGCTTTCAAAACCATCATATTTTCTTTTCAAAAGCGAACGTAACTTTGGATATTTACTAATTTCGACATCATTTTTAACAGAGAGTGTAGTTCTTAGCATCGAATAAATGGACCATAACGTCGACGGTTTAAAATTTGAACATATTGCTCCAAAGTATGCTAGTAGTACAGTTTCCGAAAATGATTTCACTTTATTTTTTTCTCTCCAGTTCAAAAATTTGATATAAATTTCTTCATATCTCTTTTTTGATTTGACCGGTAATAAATCTGAAGAGGTTTCTTCAGCTTTAAAAATAATTTCTGAGTACAATCGCTTTCTGACTCAGACATCATGAAAATGTGTTAAATTTAGGACGAACTGAAACTGACAGTTCTCAAAAGTGATAAAACTTCAAATAAACAAATGAAAACCAGGAAACTAGATGTAGATTGGTTTAATTTGCACTATTTTTATACATTTTTATTTTATCTTTAATTCATTAAAGTTTAGGTAAAAACGCCTATAGAATTTAATGAGCATCTTTTTATTTCATTATTAATAATTATAAGCTGCCAAAATATTATAAGAGGCGACTGATTTATGAAAATATGTAACAACTTACTTTCGTCACTAGAGACGAAAGTAAACGTTATGGGATTTTTTCTCACTAGTGACGGAAATCAAGTTTTCGCTGAAAGTATCCTGTGACGAAAGATGTCTTTTTGTAAGAGTTCGTAGAAAAACGTGTTTTTTTGCTCGATCTTAATAAATTATTTAAAAAGTACATAGGTAGCAGAACTGTTGTAAGTTCTAATACGTTTCAAGTACCAGTTTAAGTATAAGTAAAAAATTAAATACTTAAAATATCAAGTACATTGACTTGAATAAACCAAATTTAAGTACAAGTACCAAATTCCTTGAAAATAAGAGTCAAGTTTAAGTATTTTCTTAAATTTGCGTACTTGGAATGATATGTAGGTACATATACTTAAAAAATATTGTAAGTGTTTTCTATTTTAAGTAATGATCGTATTAAACTAAGAAATAAAATTATTAGTTATCGATAATCTTAATGGAATATATATTCAATTTAGGAGGTATATCTGAATAATAAATCAAGCATTTTTCTTAATGTTTTTATTTTATTATTAAGAGGATTAACTAAAACAAATTACTAAAAATAAAATTAACTGTTTTACGTAATTTAAACAAAGAAACATCGATGCATGTTACAAGCATAATACTCAAATGAAACATTTAGTTATGGTAAAATAACTAAAACTTATTTGTTTTAAAAGTAACCAATTTTTTAAAATTACCGTCACTTAGTGCATGCCTACGAGGCGCATTAATAATTTGAGCAAAACTAAATAGACGCTTAACAGGAGCTGATGACGAGAGAATTGTGTTATATTTACCAAACACAATATTATTATATTTATAAACATCCAGCGTACTAAAGGGGCGTTCTCACAAGTCGATTTTAGTTGAACGATTTTGGTTGATCAACAAAAGTTAAATACAAATTGTTGTGAGAACCTGTCTTTGAATAGATTTGATCAAATTTTTAGTTGGCCAATAAAAGTTTGATCCAGTTAAACTTTTTTCAAGTAATGCGTCATCATGAATTGTTTTCAAGTTGAAATTTGCCTTGGAACGTGTGAACTAGACAGTTAACTTTTGTCGAATGTGTAATGAATAGATAAATAATGTGTAGTACGTTTGATGAAGGTTTGAACTGGTTTACTCAGATCAATGAATTGAATGAAAAAAATGCCAGACATCTTCCTTCTCAGATAACTAAGGTATGCTTATGGTAGCGGAATTTTAGTTATAGCATATTTTGGACTAATTCTTTGGCATTTATCATACGGTATCATACTTTGGAACAAGTCATGTCATGGGGATTTCTATACCTTTTTTTAATGCTTCCATTCTATTTTTTTCTCAGAATCCACTGCCTTATCCAAAACGACTTTTGTTTATATATCAAAAATTCTTTTCAGTTCTTCCTTCAACATAAATGAAACAATCTGTAAACATTTACATACAACTGCATTCGATGACATTGAAACTGATAATTCAGTTTATATTGAAATGCGTGAAAGTTGTAATCAACTTTTGTTAATCAAATAAAATCGGTCAACTAAATTTAACTCGTGAACATGCGCCTCAAGACACTGGTTCTTCTATCGTTTAAGTATTGTAGAAGTTCCAGTTGGGATTAACTCTTCGCATTAACTAGTAAATTCACAGATTTTCCTGCAATGGAAGAAAATGACTTTGTATCTCATTCGAAATCAAAAAGTGATCGTTATCGTTATATATTGAGTTTTCCAAGGTTTCATCTCGTGCTTCTTCCAAAATACTTTCTTCTATTGTCCCAATTACCCATGACTGGATTTCCTTCCATGTTGTTGAAATTTCAGTATCTAACACGTTATACAATCTTATTTTAAATCTGAAGAAGACAACTGCTGCAATGACAGCTGTCCTTGTTTCTTCTTTATGAATAAGCAAAAAATCAAATCTGCAATTAATTGAATCCAGAGGTTATAGAAGTTGTTTCATTTGATTGTTTTAATTTTTGTAACTATACTGGGTGCCGGAAAGGCTAGCCGCGAGCTTAGTGTGCATCCACTTACTCGCAACAGTTAAGCAGTGATCTCTCCGGTAACATCGTGGATGAGTGAGTGCTTAGAGGTTCCATCATGGGCCGTGTCACCATGGGATTCATCCAACTAGCGTTTAACCATCGACAACGTGGAATGAATGAGGGTGTGAATGGGAAAGTCGTAGGACCTTCAAATGGTGGTACAATAAGCCGCAGGCTTCAGTGCTGCCAGATTACAGACTGATTAGGGTGTAGCACGGGAGGTCTGAAGGATGTAAAACTAAAAAAAAAACTATGCTGGGTAGTTAATATCCATAGTAGACGTTCTCTTAACCTTGTAGAAAATCCAAAGTTTTAGCTAAAGGTTATATAATTTAAAATATGCAATCGTTAGTCTTTCGCATTTTTATCTTTATTTTTATCTTTGTCGGTTATAAGCAGGTAGGGTTAGGTTTGGCCCAGAACACTGTGGCTTCTTGGGTCTATTGTTATCCCCTGCTTTCCCCGTATTGAGGTACTATCTTTGGAATAGTCGTATGTCTTTGGTTAGTTTTAACAAATTCCCTACCAAGTGTTGCTAGGGCATTCTTTCTGATTCTAGGCCCAAAAGGATTAAACTTCGCCTAGTAAGTGCATCGCATTCGAAAATTACATAATATGAGGTTTCTTACTCTTTCATGCAGAGTCTAGATGTAGTGGGATTATTGTGTAATTCCATCACATGAAGGTGTTTCAGCAAGCAATGCCACGTTAGTAATACCACAATGGTGGATATCTGAGGCCTTTCCAGTTGTAGTGCCTCAGTAGCCATGCGTGGGTTTGGTCCCCTTAGCATGAGCTTACTGATTCTGTGTCCTCTTATCTGTTGCCAGTAAATTTGGTATTTTGTGGTTATCCACCTGTTCACTGCCTGTCGAGCAGAGGTTTTGCTTATTAAGTGTAAGGGGTTCGGGTCCTGTGAATGGTAGATTTGATCGCTCTTTGGCGAGATCATCAGCATTTTGATTTCCTTAGATACCTGGTTCCCTGGTAACCATGGTAGTTTTACCTTGTTGTGGGTCGCCAGATCATTAAGTATTCCAAGGCAGTTCCAGACAAGCTTTGACTTGATTAAGTTTGAATCAAGAGCCTTTAATGCTGCTTGGCTATCTTGGAGAGAATTCTATTGCATGTATTTTAGCCTGAAATACAGTGGTATGTTTTCCCAGTGAGACGATGATGTCGCATTTGGGTTTAACTCCATGTATGCCAGAGCCTGTTGCCTTGTTAGTTTTAGATTCATCCGTATACCATACTAGACCGCTAAGCAAGTATTTATCTATCTCCTTATTTACCTCGTTCCAATTGCAGTTGACCTGGAAGAGTCTGTGAATGGTTAGGAGGGGTGTCATGTGATCTGATCCCATGTTTAATATAGAATCATTTACTTCATGTGTTATTCTGTTACGTTTTATATATCCCAGCGGGTTTCAGTTTTTATAGATTTTCAGTTTGTATGCACTCATTCTGGCCTCCCCCATTATGACTAGGTCAAGGGGTAGGAGGTTCAGAATGATTTCCATAGAAGCTATCGGTGAACTTCTCAGTGCTCCTGAAAATACAAAGGCATGACAGGCTCTAAACTCCTGAGAGGGTATTAAGGGCTGTTTTCTGGTTTAATTTTACCCACCAAACAACCGCTCCATAAGTTATAATGAGTCTTGTTATTGCCAAATTTAGACAGTGATCCATTTTTGGTTTTAATCCCCATGTTTTTCCAAATGCTCGTCTCCCTACAATGAGAGACATTTTACATTTGTTGGTCACTTTTTGTAAGTGTTGGTTCCAAGTAAGTTTGCTATCTAGGATTAGACCCAGATATTTTACTTGGTTCGTTTTGTTTAGCCTTCCTCCAATCAGAGTTGGAGTTTTTAAAACCTCCAACCTTGTTTTCCGAGTAAAGGTTATTAGTTGTGCCTTGTCAGGGTTTACGCTCCACATTTCTGTCAGCCTAAGAGCTCTTGACATGAGTTCAAAGATTGTGGTTTGATGTTTCCCTCGGATAAGGATGACTGTGTCATCGGCATATCTTTGGGTGTACAGCCCTTGATTGTTCAGTGTTTTCAGCAGCTGCCACTAGGTTTCACAATAGAGAAGATAGGAGTCCACCACTGAACATTTTGTACCTGTACTTGTCGTTTGCGTAACATGTCTTCTATCCACCAGCAGATGGTGTTTTCTATTCCATGTTTGCGAGCGGCAGCTACCATTGATTTAAAGGAGGTATTATCGAAAGCTCCTTCTATGTTAAGATATGCTCCTGGGATTATTTATTTATTTATTTATTCACGGGTAACCCCATTAAAAAAAAATACAATATTAATTAGAATAAAAACAGCAAAATAAATACTTAACAAAATACTAAACTAATACTAATATAGGTAATATAAAATACTATACAAAATATAAAATATAACGGCATCAAATAACAATTATAAAATCAGTTAGAAAATGAAGACAAAAAAAATGTTAGACTTCCATATTATTTAAATAAGTCCTGAGAGCATTAATAGTTCCAAAAATATCACAATTTTTACATTTCAACTTATTACATTCACGTAACATTCGACTTACTGGTGAATTAAAGGCATAATTAGTGGTATGTAGTGGTATATTAAATAAGTCGAATTGTCTAGTCCTACTAAAGGTATTAAAATTAATAAGACCTACTGCTTGGGGAGAATCAATATTCCCTGTTAACAATTTATTTATAAAAATTATATCAGAAACTGTTCTTCTAAAGTGAAGTGATTTTAAGTTTAATTGAGAATTAATTGAAGCATATGAGTAATCTCCTCTTATATAACCCATGTTTTTACATTCCCAAGATAAGAACTTACTCATGAGATAATCGAATGCTTTAGGAATATCGGACTGGATACAAACAGCTCGGTAGTTTTCAATTTTCTCTTTTGGGCCCGATTTATAAATTGGTTTCAAAAAACTATGTTTCCAGAAATTTGGAAAGATTCCTGATTTAAGGGATATGTTAAAAACGATTTTTAGAGGATTAGCCAAAGTATAAATGCACTTTTTTAAAAAATAAGTTGGAATCCCATCTGGACCATTTCTTGACTACTGCGTCCCCCCTCTGTCTTCGTTACGAGATGATGCACAAGATTTTTCTGATTGATAGGCATGTTGGTTTGTATCAAATGGCCTCTCTATCAGAGTGGTTTGTCGGATATGCTGATCAATCAGTTTTTCAATCATATCAATAGAAATGACGTCAGAGTCAGAGTCAGAGTCTTTTGCATAATAAAGGCACTTTTTTTTAAACATAAGTATTTTATTTACAGCTTTGAGATTAATTTCATCGGGTTATTTCAGGAATACTAAATGTGTGACCAAGAATGTTTTTATTATTTCTGAGGGTTATTTCATATTTACTTCAAGTAATTTTACTGCTATTTAAGTATTTTAATAATACTTCAGCACAAATTTTCGAAAGCTTTCAAGTAAAATGTACTTAAATGATATTTTAAGTATTAAGTAAAATTGTTAAACTTTAAATTGCAAGTACACGTACCAACGTTTGTCTTAGTGCTTAAGTCAAATATTTAAAATATCTTTTTATATTTAAGTATTTAAAATACTTAGTACAGCAGATCTGCTACATAGTATTACATTTTGTACAATGGTGCGAAACCCTTCATGAGCGAGTCCGACTCGCACTTGTGTGGTTTTATTTAGATTGATTAAAGTACACTATTTTTTTGTATTGTATTTACAATTTGTTATTTCGTATAGGTACTACACATTGTGATGAACTAGGCTACATCTTTAATATAGCTCTTGATGCAGAATTTTTGGATATTGGTGAACTCGAAGACAAATATATACGACGTTTCGTCAAATTATGGACAAATTTTGCAAAAACTGGTAATCCTACACCAAATGGAACCGATTTAAATACAAAATGGAAACCAATCAATGAGGATATATGTTTCTTAGATATTGGAAGTGAACTTACAATGCAGATTAATCCAGAAGAAGAAAGAATTAAATTTTGGAAGGAAATTTTTAAACTTAGTCCGCATACTTATAACTATTTATAAGTAATTAATATAAAATAAAGATTTAGATATCATTATGAAGTACTTATTGTAATCTAAATGTAAGGTAATAATTTACAATATTAAGTAATCTATGGTATTATTCTTAATTCATGACTCTAACTAATTATTAAATAAAGTTCATGTGCTCCATTATTTTTTTTGTCCTTTCGCAAGAATTATTTTATCATGTATTTATCATGTATTAATCAAACAAATCTAACCTTTTTTTATAAGATTTTTTTTAAATTAAAAGAGCTAAAAGCTGTTTAAAAAAACTTTATATCAAAAATAAATAAAATAAGGCACTTAACAGCTTAAGCACCACAATAGTAAAGATTTTAACGTCTCCATGGACCGATCACTTTTTACTTTCCTATATGTATACAGATAAGGAAAGTATAGGAATCATAATTTATTCGCGCTCGCGCGCGCGCGCGCGCGTGTGTGTGTGTGTGTGTGTGTGTGCGTGCGTGTGCGTGTGCGTGTTCGTGTGCGTGTGCGTGTGCGTGTGCGTGTGCGTGTGCGTGTGCGTGTGCGTGTGCGTGTGCGTGTGCGTGTGCGCGTGTGGGTGTGCGTGGGTGCGTGCGTGCGTGCGTGCGTGCGTGCGTGCGTGCGTGCGTGCGTGCGTGCGTGCGTGCGTGCGTGCGTGCGTGCGTGCGTGCGTGCGTGCGTGCGTGCGTGCGTGCGTGCGTGCGTGCGTGCGTGCGTGTGGGTGTGTGTGTGTGTGTGTGTTTGTGTGTTTTTTAGTATTTGTATTATATACCCATAATGTTTAATAGTGTATATTACGCATTCTGTAATGGGTCTTGGCCGTTGGATGTATGATTAAATAAATAAAAAATAAATAAATTATTAAGTAATTATTTCGTTTTAAGAGGTTAGTGCAAAATGGCAGATATGTGGCAAGTGTTGGTTTATTTTTTTTTTTATTTTTATCTGTACAGGATGTTGAATTTATACCTGTACATATAATAATTTGGAGGAGTTGATATGGTTTCTTGATTGACTCACGGGTATGAGGAAAGATATCGCCCACTATATGTAAATTGGTAGTAAGTGAATTGGTTTTATATAAAAAAAGAATGAGATGTTGTTATAAAAATTGTGATTAATATTGAAAAAAAAAAGAAAGGGATAGAGAGAGAGAGGGTTAAAACGAACGAGGGTGAGAATCGTTTTTGTGAAGATCCCTACATTTTTTTTGTAATTACAAAGAAAACAACAAGTAGCGATATAAATTAGAGTTTTTAGTTTCATATGTATCCTAATTGATGAATAAAAGAAAAATTTGTGAAAACTGAGTTTTAATTTACCAAGTGAGAATAGAAGTTACCAAGGTTTGAGCAAGCCAATTGCTGTGTACCCGAATTGAGGATAAATTTAAGATAAGTGAAAAAATACCGGTGTTACTTCCGAATATTTCTTTGGTAAAAATGTTCTGTAGCATATGTCGCTGGTGTTAGAAGAATTGGGTTCTTTTGTAGAAATAACTAACGAGTCATAAGTAGTAGAAAAAGAAGTGTTTTTAATTTACTATTTTCACTGAAGTAAATACATAGTGGTTGATTCCATTTAGATATAATAATTTTCTTATCTTCACTAAACAGTTTTAAATATTTACAATTTTAGTTCATCATAATTTGATTTACTAATACAGTTGATTTTTTAGTTACCAACTTGAAAACATTTGTTTGTAGAATTTCTTATGCCATAACAATTGTAGAAGAAATAACTTTCACCAGAAAATAAAATGCATTAAACGCTTGTAAAAATGTAGAAAGTAACGTGCCGTCGGCAGAAAGCACCTGAACGTTCGGATAGCAACGACAACTGTGAGCGATGATGGCAAAAAGACAACTCAACTCGTTTGTGGCAATAAGACAACTACTGAATGCCGTTCGCGTCGAGCTCGCCCTAATATATACTGTTCGACCGAAATGAGTGTCCGGGGCATAGTTGACGCACCTATTCGGTTTCAACCAATGAAAACATCATGACATAATGAAATACGTCATTTGTGCTTCGTTAACTATGCGCCGGACACTCATTTTGTTCCAATGCACCGCTGTGCACCTGAAAACACAGGTGTTCGACGTTCGGTATTCTGAGAAAAATGCTATTTATAGTTTTATGACTTCACATTATATTAGGGTAAAAAGCAGTCGAACTATTTGAGAATTGTTTATTTATTTAGTAGATGTAAAATATTAATTTGTTGATGTTTTTACTGGTGAAATTGTAGAATTTAACCATACTGGCGCGCGCAACACAAAGGAAAACAACATTGAATGATGAGAAATTAAAATGAATAACAATGATAAAGATATCTTGGAAAAAACTCGAAGGACCAGCCAGTGTTATCGCACTAACACGATGTATGAATAACAGAGTTTAGTTTCTCAGGTGTTTGTTGCGCAAGCCACGCATGATTTTAAACATATGACAGATTCATAAAACGAAAACCAAGTTGATAAACGATAAGTAAGGAAAAATAAAGGAAAAATGGCGTAAGGTTATTGACCAGGTCACTCGCGAATCTATCCCAGATCAAGATCCTAGCGTTCCTTTCGTAGAGCATTTGGATTCGACCTAATCCAACTGCGTATTTAACAACCTTATGCGAAAGTAGGTACCTAACTTAAAATCTAAAGCTCTGGTTGGGCACAAGGGACAATTTAACAATTGGTCTCACGTAGACTCCATCTTGGGTTTTGATGCGCACTGAGCGTGATATCGTGATTTGCCATCCTTTCCAGGGATCAACTCCAATATCCTTGCCAAAGGCCACTTTAATGGAGGGGTGTCATCTTCCCTTAACAATACTAAATCGTTGATTTTGAATTCAGGTGTAGGCTCCATCCATTTGGGCCTGTTCTGTAACCTGTTAAGGTAATCGACTTTCCATCGGTTCCAAAACTGTTGTTGTAACTTTGAGCATTGTTGCCAAAATTCAAGGCGATTGGAAGGAATCTCGGCGAGATTTTTTTCTGGAAAGGACATCAAAGGCGCGCCTATAAGAAAATGTCCTGGTGTAAGTGAGTTGAGATCTGAAGGATCGTTTGATAAGGGGCAAAGCGGCCTACTATTCAAGATGGCTTCTATCTGTGAGAACACAGTTGATAGTTGTTCAAAGGTGAAAATAGAGTTTCCCATGAGCCTAACAAGGTGGTATTTTGCACTTTTTATTGCAGATTCCCACAATCCACCCCAATGTGGTGAATGTGGAGGAATGAACTTCCACTCTGATTCAGTGGCAAGAAGGTAAGACTGGATTGACTTCATATTATCGTCATTAACTAGAAATTGATGAAGATCTCTGAGCTGATTTTTGGCTCCTTGAAAATTTGTGGCATTGTCACTGTAAATGAGTGTTGGGCACCCTCGACGGGCAATTAGGCGTTTTAACGCTGCTAAAAAGGCTTCGGTGGTAAGGTCAGAAACTAGCTCTAAATGAACAGCCTATGTGACCATGCATACAAATAGAGAAAGGTAACATTTTTGAATGGGGGCCTTTTTTAAAGTAGAAGACTTAATGAGGAAAGGTCCTCCGAAGTCGACGCCCACCCTTTGAAATGGTCGAGCCTGAGTAATACGATAAGAGGGGAGATCTGCCATGATTTGAAAATGTTTCTGAGCATGAAATTTATGACAAGTTGTGCATTTGGAAATAATTTGTTTTATTTCTCGCAAGCCATCTAGTGGCCAGTAACGCAATCTAACATTTGAAAGAACATTTTGAGGGCTACTGTGACCCAAACGGATGTGGTTTGATTTGAGAATTAGAGATGTGATCTTGCATTTACTTGGCAATAGGATAGGGTGCTTGTGGTCATAAGGTAAGTCAGAGTGCTTAAGCCTTCCTCCTACTCGAATTAAATTTTGTTTGTCTATAAAAGGGTTTAATGATCGTATTTGTTTATTTGCTAAAGGCTTTTGATTTTGTAAACCAGTAATTTCTGTAATAAAATAACTGGATTGAATTTCAGATAAAATGAATTTTAACGAATTATCAATTTCACTAGTATTAAGGGCCCCTGTCATTTTTTCACCTGAGTGGCGTACATTGTGCAAAAAACGAAACAAATATGCGAAAGATCGGACAAGTTTGGAATAAGAATTGAGCGTATCGAAGGTGGTGACCCAGGGGTCAGGGGTGACGCGTACAGTTTGAAGAACTGTCTTTTTTGATTCTGGGAGAACTGTAACTAATTTAAAAGTATCAAGTTGATCAAAATTGGTGTGATTTTCTTTAAGAAATTGTGGCCCACTGAACCAGAACTCAAGCTTGTCTTTTTGAAAATGTCCTCGAGACAGCAAATCTGCAGGATTTTTTTCGGATCTTACATGCCTCCAATGAAAATCGTTGATAAGTTCTTGGATTTGGGATACACGGTTGCTGACGAAAACTGACCATCGAGAAGGATGTCCCCTTACCCAAGACAGAGCAATGTGTGAATCTGTCCACAAATTGACAGAGTTAAAATGAATCTTTGTTTTCAAATTTTGAATGATTCGAGATACCAACTTGGACAACAACACCATTGACGACAGTTCTAATTTTGGGATGGTAAGTATTTTACTAATGGGTGCTACCCTTGATTTTGACGTGAGCAATGAACAATGGATCGAATTATCCGAATAAACTGATCGTACATAAATGTTACAACCATAGGCGACGAAACTAGCGTCACAAAATGCATGAAATTCCACACGTGAAACTTCTTTGTTTAACATTACTTGTCTAGGGATCGTTACATCATGAAGAACAGTTAAATTCTTACAAAACTCGCTCCATTCTTGTAATACCTTTTGATCTTGGATGATTTCATCCCACCCTAATTTTAATAACCAAAGCTGCTGCATGATCAACTTGCCGTGAGCAAGCAAGGGGTTGACCAACCCTAACGGATCAAAACAGCTTGAAATGGTTGATAAAATTATGCGTTTAGTAAGTTGCTGTGTAGGAAGGGATGAAGGAGTGGATATTTGAAGGCAATCTAAATTGGGATCCCATTTGAGACCTAGTATCTTGCAAAGAGCATCCTCTAGGTTAAGATCTTTTAC